GGGGGGGGGGGGGGGGGTGTGGTGTCCAATTTTTCGCTTAAACTGATTATGGAAGGACCTGGTTCTTCTAAGTATTCTTAACCTACTATTGCAGAAATAGTAAATGCGGAAAGTAAAGAACACAAGTATTTTACGTGGAAAACACCTGGCTCAAAAGGTGAAAAAACCACGACCTACTTTCCAGCAGGATTTTCCCAAAACTCTCCACTAAAATCACCGAACCAAAAACTGCATTTACAAAAACTCTTTTGTAAACCTAGGACTAACTCTAATCCCGTTGTAGCAACCAACCTCTAACTATTGCGACAACTTCAAGTTAACTCTAACTTGAATACTCAAAGTACCTATTACAATTGCTTCTAGATAAAGCTGAAAGGTACAATATGAAAACACCTACTACAATTGAACTAGAATTAAAGACAGACACTTGGAACTGGTTCTTCTATCTGGTTCATGTAGCTTCAGGTCTGCACACTTGAATCACACACGAACTGCTTGCAAAAAGCCTTGCTATTTTGCTCTCAATTCTTGTTTAACTTTTGCGTTTGTGCATTACATGTAAAAGAGAACAATAGTAATATTTATAGAGTTAGTAAATAAAGATTAACTAGAATTCTGATGCTACTCTTCCTTGGTAGAAGTTCTAGTTGATCTCAACCTCTAACTCCTTCCCTATCTTGAACAGTGTTCTCTTTGAGTAAGGAGTCCTTCTCCTTATCAATTATGCAACCTTTTCGATCAGGATCAGGAGATATCAATTCTGTCAAGTTAGGTTTATCTCCTTCACGTGCATCCCACATGCTCAAATCTGTCTGTATATGTGCTTACAAGGGATGGACCTGGTTTATGCCTGAGTTTCTTTGTCAGTCTTTAAAACTAACCTTTACTTGGGCCAACAAATTCCCCTTTTTGATGATGACAAACTCTGTTCATTAGGTTATAAACATCACTTGTTCAAAGCTAAACATCACTTGTATAAAGCACAACCTATTTATTTTCCCCCTTTTAGCATCATCGAAAAGTTGCATAAAAATGTGCAGAACACAAATTATAAAGCTTACTCATGGCCACTGGGGCTATCCCAAATGCAATCATGGATTAATCATCATTGATCAAGCTAAGAATTTCAACCATCAATGAATAAAAACAAACAGTTAGAGCAAAAAACCAGCAAATTTCATTGATTTCATTGAAAGTTGATATGATTCTACCACAATGCATAAAAGGAAATAAAAACACTGAAAACATGAGCAAACAACAACAAAAGAAATATCCCAAACTAGGTCACTGAAGGAACTACACTAGGCTAGGATTTAAGGCTTAGAAGAGGTAGGGGCTGGGTTATTTGCTTGGAGAAGTTTCAGCATGTCTTGAAGAATTCCATCATTCTTCTCCTTTTCCCTTGCAAGTTCAGTTCTGAGAACATTTCTCTCAGATTCTACCTCAGACAACCGCGTTTTCAACCTTCCTATCTCAGCATCCTTTTGCCTCACTCTCCTGTACCAAGACTCTGGCCTTGCTATTGATTGGTGTCTTTTTAGATGAACTAGTTTCATTAGGAGCGGCAAGAACCTCATAGTCACAAGCAATCAGAGTTTTTACCCCAAAATGATCTTTGCTTGTAGCTAGCTCCCACTTCTTCAAAGGCACCTTAAAATGAGCAAGCACAGTAGTAAGAATGAACCCATAGAGAATAGCATGAGACTTGGTACCATTGATAACCCTATCAAGAAGCTGGACTATAAACCCAGGCCAATTTATTTGCTTCCTACTGTCTAGACACTCCATCAGAACTAAGTCCATAAAGCTAGCAATGTGCCTCCTCTCCTGCCTAGGCAAAACGCATTTGATGACAAATTCAAACAGCACCTTGTGGGAAGGCTTCATTGCACTCTTGTGCACAGCCTTGGGCTCACTTTCCTGCTCATGATCACTGAATTTTCTGGTGATGGCAAGGGCAGTCGGAAGATTTTCTAGGCTTGACCACTTAAGCCTTGTGTAATCATTGTACCCCTCAGCAGGTACACCTAGAATTTCACCCAAATCTTTCATATCAAAAGAGATTTGCACCCCTTTCACCAAGTTGGTAACTCTTCCATTTTGCACAGTAGCATTTGCCATAAACTCAACTACTTCATCCCTAGCCAATATGCCATCCATTTGAAGGACCATGTTCTTCCACCCTTGTACCTCTAGCTTTTCCAGCAGCAGGACCATCCCTTCTTCCTCCAGATCCTTTAGGAGTCTACCCTTCAAGATAGTCCTTTAGCCAAACTTGGACAGCTTGTCCACTTCACTATCTGATCCATCCTCCTCTTCTTCACTCAAATCCCCTTCTTCAGCAATGTTTACTTGTTTAGGTTTCACTGCAGACTTGGTCCTCTTTGCCAGGGTAGATGGTTCAGCAGACTTGGGTACTGATGTAGACTTCTTAGAAGAAGTCTTGGCTTTCTTGGGCTTGGGGGTCTGAACCTCCACCTCAGCTGTCACTTTTTCACCTTGATGGACTAGGTCCATCACATCCACATCAACAGCCTCAACAGGCTCTCCCACTTTTTTTTCCCCTTTATCCATCTTTTTCTTCTTACTTTCTTCTAAGGCTTTCTGCAACTCCTCCCCACTTTGCTTCAGCTTGCTCCTCGTGGCTCTTCCTCTTGGGAGAGAAATTTCAGTGGTGTCAGAAGGAGCAACCTTCCTTTTTTTGTTGGCTCTTGCTGTGCCAGGGTTCTTTGTTTTAGGAGTTCTCTTTTTCTTGGGGTTATAGTTGTCACCTACCTTTTTCAAAAGATCTGCTAGGGTTTCTTCAACGGATGAATCAGGTTCATCTGTATGCTTTCCAAGATTAACCAGCCCTTCAACGGCTTCTCCTGATCCACTTCCCCCTGTTTTCTTGCCACTTTCCTCCACCTTTTCTGACTCTGCTCCGCAGATAGCCATCCTATCAGTTTCAGAGGTAGGTGAAGAATCAGCCACTTCTTTCCCTTTTCCCCTCTCATCACTTCTTACACCCTCACTCTTTTTTTCTTTTTCTCTTTTATTTTTACCTCCTCTCCTTTTGGACTCAGGCGTTTCCAAATCCACTACAGATCCAACTAAAACAAACCGATTCTCCAGATTTTCAACTAACACAGAAATAACCTCATTCGTAGTATTTGTTCCAGAAGTTACCTGTTCAGAATCAGAAGACTCAGTTCCTTCCCCCTCAGTTGCAGACTTGAAAGAGTTGTCAGAGTTTTGGGGTTCTGGGCTTGACTTGCCTGTAACTGTGCGTTGAGTTTCCTTGAAAGCGCACCTCTAGCCACAGTTTTTCGAGCAAGCATTTTTAACTGTCGTTTCCTAGGTTGAGGGGTAGTAGAAGATGAGGAACGTGGTGGGGGTGTACCAGGGTTATTGGGTGTACCAGGGTTATCTTGAGGGTTAGTCATTTTTCTTGATTCTGTGATGAAGGAGATGAGTAGGTTGAATTTTGGAAGAAGAGAGAAGAGAGAAGAGAGAAAATTTGATAGTTTTTGGAAATTATGCGAGAATGGGAGGAATGATGATGAATGATTTAAAAGAAGGGGGTAATTAATGAGTAACGACAGGTTTAGCAGTCAAATAGAAGTCTAATTAAACTGAAATTTTAGTTTTGAAAAGACTGTTGAGGCGTCCCTAGAATCTAGGTGTGTTAATTTGGGTGGGAGTGTTTGAACAACACCGGTTCACTTGTTGGATAATTTCAAAAGAAATTTAGCTTAAGTAAGACTCTGCTCATGATTCAAATATTATTATTTCAAAATATGCAGAGTGTAGAAAACATACCGTGTTATCTTGATGAACCATGTTCTTCACTGATAATTCTCTTGTGTAAGTCCAAATTTGCAAAAATAGATAAAATATCATAAGAGATTAATGAGTCATTTTAACACATGGCACAAGAGTATACTATTGAAAGTATGAGACTGAGGAAGATTTGGTCTACTTATGTACAATTTACACACTTTCTAACCAATTTTTTTTTCATTTAGCGTTGAACTGGTCCTTTTAGGCGATCTTAATCATCCCTAATTCCAACCTGTTCCTCTCAAAATGATCTCTACTTAAGGCTTTTGTGAAGATGTCAGCAATTTGCTTATCAGTAGCACAAAACTCCACAGTGATCAAGCCTTTCTCATAGTTGTCCCTCAAAAAATGGTGCCTAACATCTATGTGCTTAGTTCTCTTATGATGAACCGGGTCCTTGGTCATACTAATGGCACTAGTGTTATCACAAAAAATAGGGATACAACCAACATCAATTCCAAAGTTCAATAATTGCTGTTTGATCCATATCAATTGAGCACAACATGAAGCAGCGACAACATACTCAGCTTCAGCAGTAGATAAGGCCACTGAATTTTGCTTTTTAGTAGCCCATGACACAAGACATGAACCAAGAAAGTGTGCCATACCTGAAGTGCTCTTCCTGTCTACAAGGAAACCTGCATAATCAGCGTCAGCATATTCCACTAGGTTAAAATTACTACCTTTTGGATACCAAAGGCAAAGGTCAGTGGTGCCTTTCAAGTATCTCAATATTCTCTTGACAGCAGTCAAGTGGGACTCCTTTGGATTTGCTTGAAATCGAGCATAAAGACCTACATTGAAAACAATGTCAGGTCTGCTAGCAGTAAGATACAAAAGTGAACCAATCATTCCCCTGTACAACTTCTGATCAACAGATGAACCAGGTTCATCTATATCCAAATTTTTGTGGTTGTTGCAATAGGAGTATCGATTTCCTTTGATTCTTCAATTTAAAACTTTTTAAGCAACTCTTTCACATATTTCTGATGATGGATCATAGTTCCATTTGATTTTTGTTTAATTTGTAAGCCTAAAAAGAAATTAAGCTCATCCATCATACTCATTTCAAATTCACTCCCCATTAGTTTAGCAAATTTCTTACTTAGTTTTTGGTAGTTGCTCCAAAGATTATGTCATCAACATATATCTGTACTACTAGAAGATCTTTACCTTTTGCCTTCAAGAATAGAGTGTTATCGATTTTACCTCTCTTGTAGTCATGTTCAAGCAGAAATTTTGATAATCTTTCATATTATGCTCTAGGAGCCTGCTTGAGTCCATAGAGTGCCTTGTCAAGTCTGTACACATAATCCGGACAATCCTTGCTTTCAAACCCTGGAGGTTGCTTGACAAACACTTTTCCCTTTAAATAGCCACTGAGGAAGTCACTCTTGACGTCCATCTAGTGAAGAGTAAATTCCATGTAAGCAGCAAAGACTATGAGGAGTCTTATTGCTTCCAACCTTGCAACTGGAGCAAAGATCTCATCATAGTCTATGCCCTCCTCTTGGCTATATCCTTGAACCACTAATCTTGCCTTGTTCCTTGTAACAATTCCATCTTCATCAGGTTTGTTTCTGAAGACCCATTTTGTGCCAATTACTGATTTGTCCTTGGGTCTTGGAACCAGATGCCAAACTTGACTCCTTTCAAACTGGTTGAGTTCATCTTGCATTGCATTTACCCAGTCTGCATCCTGCAAAGCCTCAGCAATATTTTTAGGTTCAATAAGAGATAAGAAAGCATCAAAAGCACATAGATTCTTTAATGAAGATCTAGTTTTAATTCTAGAGGTTGGATCAGTAATTATGTTCTCAATGGGATGAGAAATTTGGTACTTGTAAGGTTTCACAATCAACTGGTTTCCGCTTGATGTTTCTCCAATGTTTTGTTACTGGGGAACAGGCTCATGGACAGGTTCCATTGAGGTATTGGATTCAGTTCCTCTTTGTTCAGTTCCCCCTGTCAGGTTGTCCTGAATAAAAGAACTTGTTCCATCACATGTTCCTTCTTCTGGTGCAGCTTCAGCCTGGGCTGTGGTTTCATTTAAACTTCTTACCAGCCCAATAGCTTCATCTTCATGTTCCTGTCTCTCAGAAAAAGTGTTAGTTTCATCAAAAACCACATGTACGCTTTCTTCTACACACATAGTTCTTTTGTTGTAAACTTTATAAGCTTTGCTATGTGAAGAATATTCCAAGAATATTCCCTCATCAGTTCTGGGATCAAACTTACCTAGGGAGTCTTTTCCATTATTGTGCACAAAGCACTTGCATCCAAATGCCCTAAGATGGGATATATTTGGTTTTCTCCCTTTAAGTAACTCATAGGGAGTCTTCTTTACAAGAGGTCTAGTCATGCACCTATTGATGATGTAGCATGCAGTATTTACAGCTTTCTGCCCAGAAACTATGGGACAATTTACTAGAAACAAGCATAGTCCTAGCCATATCTTCAAGTGTCCTATTCTTTCTTTCAACTACTCCATTTTGTTGTGGAGTCCTAGGAGCAGAAAAATTATGATCTATGCCATGCACATCACAAAGTTCAGCAAACTTAGCATTTTCAAATTCAGTTCCAAGATCAGACCTAATTGATGCAAGTTGATTACCTAGTTGTTTCTGAGTTTTTCTAACAAAATAAGTAAACATGTCAAATGCTTCATCTTTAGATGTTAAAAACAATGTCCAAGTAAACCTAGAGTAATCATCAAAAATCACTATCACGTATCTTTTACCACCTCTGCTTAAAGTTCTCATTGGACCACAGTGATCCATATGGACCAGTTCCATCGATCTGGTGGTGCTTACCACTTTCTTGCATTTAAAAAAGGATCTTACCTGCTTCCCCCTTGCACAAGCCTCACAAACTTTGTCTTCCTTAAACTTGATGTTAGGTAGCCCTATCACTAGGTCCTTGGAGACTAATTTGTTGAGTTGACTCAGACTTGCATGTCCAAGTCTCTTGTGCCAAAGGAGGGGATCATTGTCCAACACACTTAAGCACGTGAGTTCATTTTCTCAAAGTGTGGACAGATCTACAATGTATATATTGTTTACTCTTTTTCCCTGCAAAACAATCTTGTCAGTGGTAAGATTTATCACAAAATATTTGGTAGAGGTGAATGCTACCAAGTTACCTCTGTTCATTTGTCATACACTGATTAGGCTGTATTTCAAGCCATATATCAAGTAGACAATCTCAGTAGAGTGAGAGTCTGTCTTACTACCTTTCCAACCCCAATGATCTCACCTTTATTTCCATTTCCAAAGGAGATATTACCTCCTTTGAGGTCCTCAAGTGAAAGGAACTGGTTCTTGCTTCCTGTCATGTGCTTTGAGCAGCCACTATCCATGTACCATATTTGGCTGCTCCCCTTCACTTGGACCTGCAAAAGGAAATCAGGGGTTAGTCTTAGGAACCCAAACTAGTTTGGGTCCTTTCTATAGGCAAAGGTGTGAATTAGATTCTTTGTGGCCCATCCTGGCAGCCTATTTTTCCCTTGAACAAATATTTTGTTCTTTTGACTAGCCTTTTCTTTTGCAGTACATTCACTTTTGTAGTGACCAATCTTACCACAGTGTGTGAAGATTTTGCTCTCAGGAAGTGTGATGTACTTTCTTTTGGGATCCCACTTAGGTGCAGGGGTCCCGTAGCCAAGTCCTCTCTTATTGATACTATGGTATTCTTGTAGCCATGAAAGTGCATCAGAGGAACTATTCCATTTACAGGTTCTGTCCAACTCGTGCTTAACTTTGCTTAGATCCTCCTTTAGGACTCTTCTCTGCTCATCTCTTTTGTACAACTCATCTTTCATTTTTCCTAGGTTTTCTTCTAAAGTGAGTTGTGTGTGCTCAGCTTTCTTTTTACCTGTTCCTAATTTCAGTTTTAAATTTTCAGATCTAAGCTCTAGGATAGTGGTGTCAAGTTCAAGAACCTGGTTCTTTAACTCAACATTTTTACTATCACTCACTAGCCCTAAGTTCCAGATGTTTGCACTTATCTTTCAAAATCACACATTCCTTAGACAACTGTTCCTTTTCATTGTTTATAACCTCAGATTCATCAATGGAATCTAGAAGTAACTCAGATAGACTTTCTTTAGATAAAAACTTAATCTTGTCTTTGAGATGAATTATACTTACCTCAGATTCCTCATCTGATTCTCCAATTGCCATAAGTGCTTGTTCATCTCCATCTTCATCCTCTGAGTCATCATCTGAGCTTTCTCCCCCGGCAGCAACCATAGCCTTTGTTGATCCTTTGTTCTTCTTGGGATGAACCTGTTCCTTCTTCCTGTTTCTTCGTTCAGCTCTTTCCTTCCTCCATTCAATTTCCCATTGAGGACAGTTTTTGATGTGGTGATCAGTCTTCCCACACTTGTAGTAACCCTCGTTGGTCTGTTTTTCAGGAACCCTTGATTTGTTGTAGCTTGCACCTTTTGAGGAACCCTTTCCTCTCATTAGGTACTTCTTGAAGTCCTTTGTGATCATAGCTATTTCATCCTCTTCTAGATCAGCATCTTCAGTGATTTTGAGTGCCAGACTCCTTTCCTTCTTGGGTGCATACATCTTCATGGTTTGCCTTCTAAGTACATAAG